CTTGAGTACATTTCAACTTCATTTAGTATAATTTACTTTGATTATATTAGCCATGAGTCGTATCATTATATCTAGAGCCTAGAAACTATGGACTGTGGGAAGCCATTTAAAGATTCTTTAGGAGATATGGAACTGGGAATTAAAACTATTCGTTATTATGCTGGATGGGCAGATAAGGTTCATGGAAAGACTATACCAGTAGGTAGGTGAAGCAACTTTGTAGAAAAACCTTATTAAAAATTGTTTAAATATACATTTAGCATGGTGGATTACTTTAAGAAACAAGGTATTTCTTAGGAAACTGAATTTTTCCCATACTCTCTCCCACTTAAATATTAAGTGTCTTACAGTAAAGTACATAAGTTAATATTGCTATTTATGATGTGGAATGTATACATTTCTATCTTTCAAAACTTGTTTTTATTTGTTATACTTGCTACTAAGCGTTCTAGGAAACTTAATGTAATTTCTAGGCAAAAACACTTATGGTACCAGCTATTCAAAAATACAAAGTTCTTCAAGGAATATAATAACTGTATTAATATGTTGTTAGGCATAATTTGTGGTATACTAATTGAAATTTAAGGTTTGTATATCTATTTTTCTTAGTTTCAAGTACTAAAACCAATTTTAAAACTTTATTTGTAACAAATATAATAATTTTCTTATCTTGAAGTATATTATTTATGTAAGCCATGTATTCAGGGTCCTGACTTTTGAATACTGTGGAAGCATTCTGCCTATATACAAAATTGTTTATCATTCTCTAAAATGTTCCTTTAAGAATAAACTAATATCCTTTAGATTCCAAATTTAATTTTTTAACATAAAATGTTCTGTAACTTTGGTTTATCTTGGACAATGAACATGGATTATCTTTATTTTTTCCAGATGGTAATCTTTTCAGCTTCACAAGAATTGAACCTGTGGGAGTGTGTGGCATGATTGTCCCTGTAAGAAATTCCTTATGTCATTTGTAGTTAAAAGTAACATTGATCTATGTAGTGTAATTCTTTTTCACTAACCCTTTAAAGCAAGACATTTGGTATCTACAGACTAATCAGGTGTGCCATATCTTATGGCAGAAGTGTAGTATACTTTTCTTGCAAAAAAAAAAATATATACCTTGAAATATTGTTCATAAAATCATTGAAATTCTTCTTTAATTATATCAAAATATTGTAATATTTGTAATTAATATTTTAACATTGAATAGAAGAGAAGTCATGTGTACAATAATTTTGTTTGTCTTCAAAGTGGAATTTCCCTCTCATGATGGTGACTAATAAACTTGGGCCCAGCTTGGCTACTGGAAATACTGTTGTTGTCAAGCCTGCTGAGCAAACGCCTCTATCAGCTCTATATGCAGCAAGTTTGATTAAAGAAGCTGGTTTTCCTCCTGGTGTTGTTAACATTGTTCCTGGTTATGGACCAACTGCTGGAGCAGCTATTTCAGAACATCCTGATGTTGATAAGGTTTCTTTTACAGGTTCAACTGAGGTGAGTTGTTGTTGTTTTTTGTAAATGGCGCTGTTACACTAATATGTCGGCACAAGATCTATCTCCAAAACTGACTATTACCTAACATTACAGATGTTATGATAATTGTAAAAAAAAAATTGTTTACACCTCCCTTTTTTAAAAATGTTATATTTGAATTTAGGTTGGCAAGTTAATTCAGGAAGCAGCGGGTAAAACCAACACTAAACGAGTTACCCTTGAAATGGGAGGAAAGAGTCCTTTAGTGGTGTTTGCAGATGCTGACTGTAAGTACTGATGATGATTCTTATAGTTTTGTAAATCTGATTTAAATTCAATTATTTCTGCTGCCATAACTAACCTACTGTTTCTAAAATTGAAGACAATCTTAAATAATATTTGTTTTAAAGATTAACTTCATTTTATATGCTATTTAAAACTGTACTCTATCACTTGTAGGGATGAAAACAAATGAGTAATGCTATAAACAAGCTATTTCTAACTCTGTAAAGTAGCATATTACTACCTACACTAAAACACTTGGAAGCTAGGTGTCGGGACAACACCAACAAAAATTATGGGGAGGGGATAGCATGTTAAGTGTAGTTCCATGTTTATGGACACTTGCAAATGTATGTTGTTTAATTTCTGAACATGACTTTGTACTCCCCACTTGTTGGTAGTGTATTGAATCAAAATGTTATTACAGTGGACAAGGCAGTTGAAATGGCTCATTTCGCATGCTTTGTCAACCAAGGAGAATGTTGTTGTGCTGGATCACGTACTTACATACAGGAGGAAATTTATGACGAGTTTGTAAAGAAAAGCAAAGAACGGGCAATGAAGAAAATAGTTGGTGATCCTTTTGATGATAAAACTGAACAAGGTCCTCAGGTATTGTGTAGATTTCTTTTTGTATTTACCCATCAAGCAGAACTAACTACAACTTGTATAGACATGTACATAGAGGGAGAAATTGTATATCGTATAGTAACTTTCATTTCTTTTTTCAAGTAATCTTCAATAATTTCTTTCCATAAATTTTGATTTGCAAATTATTATTATTATTGTATCTTTCAGTCATTAGGTTTTTAAAAAAAGTTAGATATGACAGTTTAGACGCCCCCCCCCCCCCAGGTTGATCATTTCTTAAAAGATGTATTGTCTGAAAAATTAAGTTGTCAATTTTAATGATTAGAAGCTACTTTGAAAATTAATGACTAATTTGTTGAAAGTGTTTTTGAAAGTTTGTATTAATGTACAGTTTCTTCAGGTAGTTTACTCTAACTCACTG